TTAATTACCAACAATGTAACTTTTTGGTTTTTGCATTAAGATTTTAACGGATTTTAAAAATAATATCATGTAACCGTTTGTCTAACTAAAGTTAAAAAAGTATCACAGTATTTCCATGGATTGGGTTAAAAAGATGGATTTTTTTTATCAGGAAAAATTACTCCTTATGAAATGATCTGCTTTTCTTCAACCCCTTAAAACTTATCTCGTTTTAAGTATAACTTTTACAGTTAATTTAATTTAAAATAATTTTTTAAACGTCATTATCAGATTGTTTATGGCACTTTACTTTCGCTACGACTAATAAATCCACAGACCGTATGGTAATAAATAAATACAGTTTGAATGTTTTTAAAATTAAGACATTTTTTTTAACTTACATTCTGAATTTGGCATATTGAAAAACTATAAGGTATTAACTCACTTGTAACACAAAAAAATCTTGTTAATATCGTCGTTTATCTGACAAAGAGGCGTAACTCAAAAAAAATCGTTTTTGAGTTATACCAGAATGATCACCAAAATCGACTTTATAATCTCACAAACTGGTGTAGCTCTATAATAAATAGGTACAAATAAAGTTTTAGCATAAAGCAGTTTCGGCATAACTAATATTTTTGCATTTTGTGTGCCGTACAAACTGGCGTAATTCAATTCACACCGTTTTGTTTAAAAATGAGATACGCCTCTTTGTCAGATAAACGACGATATATTTTAATTTTAAGCTCCGCCCCAAAGCTCTTAAAGTTCTAATATGCAGCTCTTCGATTAAAAAAAAGCCCTGGGGCGCGGCGTAAAATTAAAATATATAAATAATGTTTTGTGTGTGTCTTAAGTAAGTTAATACCTAATAGTTTTTTAATATGCCAAATTCAAAATTTAACTTTCAACCCCCCGGGGGAGCAGCTAAATTTGTTTTTAAAAATTTGAAATTTAACTAAGTCAAGTAAGATTTCCAAAAAAAAAAAATTGTTTGCCTTTTTCGGACCAGCTTACTATTTATATACCAAATTTGAACAAAATTTTATTTAAAATTGGTAAAACTATTCAGGCATAAATAATTTAATTAAAACAAAAAGAAAAAAAAGCATTAGAAATAATAATTTTTAGCTGTTCTAAAATTTTAAATAAAATAATTAAAAGAATTATTCCAAAGTTGGTATAATTTTATAAAGTACATTTTTTTGATAAATCAAAAATCCGTGGACATACTATAGACTTGTGGTACATAATATTATTTTAAGTTTATAAATTTATCATAACACCGTATGAGACACACACCAGGACTGTTTGGAGTGTATACTAAGGATGGCGGTAAGGGGTATGGGCTGAGACTTTCTAGCGGACTAAAAATAATAAAGGTAATTATAAGTATATTTAGGACTGCCAGATTTTAAAAACATCACTCCGTTAACAAAAACAAAAGTCCCGGTGAATTCGCCATTTTGTCAAAATATTTAAATGTACACTGTAAAAAATGAATTAATAATTACCTAGAAAATATTGGTAGATTTACCAAGATTTTTTAGGTAAATATTCTTTATCAAATAAAAAATGTAAAATTACCTAAAAAATCACGGTAGAAATTAAGATTGTTAACTAATTTTAAGTAAAATTTCAAATAATTATGTAACTTAAATACAATTACATAAAAATATGTAATTATCACATAAAAGTATGTAAAAAGTAGAAGGAGATGACCCAATTTATTACATAAAGTAAAGTAAAATTACATAAAATTATGTTATTTTAGTAATTTTCATAATAATATGTTATTGCTACAAAAAAATATGTAATAATCACAAAAAAGTATGTAAAATCCGTGTAGAAGATAATGCGAGACAGCCATTTTGTCTTACTGCACAAAACAGATGCCTTTACTGTTTGTTTTATAATTTTGAATTATTACAGTGGTTAATTATTATAGTCGTTATATAATACTAAAAAGTGTTTTAAATAGTCCTCAGGTAAGTGAGTTTGTTTATTAACTTACTGCAAACAAACCTATTTAAAGTTTACAAAGGTTTTTGACAAGCATGTTTAAATGTAATTCTTTTGGTCAAAGCTTTGTACTTTTAAAAAAGTATAATTTGCATCAGTACATAGAAATAAAAAGGGAAAACTTTATAAATGTATGTTTAGTGATTGCTGCCAAATATTTAAATCGTTTCAATCTTTTAATATGCCTATTACACCAAAAACCAAGACCAAAAATTAAGTTTACGTGTCCGAGCGTTTAGCTGTGATATTTTCACCTTCCTGTATAAATTTAAACACCCTGTATAAATTTAAAAAAAAATCAATTTGACTGGACCCAACCAAATTAAAAAAAATAAAAATTCTTGCAAAATTTGAAGTTAATTGATCAAATTGAACACGTGTCCCTGCGTTTTTCTTGGATAATTTATGAAATTTCAAATGTTTTTGTGCTGATTTTTTTTATTGTGTATAATTGAGGATATTTTATTAAATAAAATAAAAAGCATAGAAATATTGGCACAAGGGGTAAAATATATTATTTACAGAACTTCCAATAGGAAAAACTTTTTTAGACCTGATACAGCTAAACCGAGCACGAATTTGGAATCTACGACCAAAAATTATGTTTACGTGTCCGAGCGTTTAGCTGTGAAATTTCAAAAGTTAAAAATTTACCTACAGTGTTATTAGATTACATAATAATAATATAAAAATATGCACACAACCTTTTTCATGTACTTTTGAGTCATATTATGTTAGTCTATTTTATCAAAATCTTCTTTGCAAATTCTAACAGTCTAAACGTAAACAAGTTAAATTCACAATATTTATTTAAAAAAATTCAAAGTGAAGGCGTTAACATACAAAGTGACGTTATTGAAAACAATTTAATTATAAAGGTTTTAAATACAAAATCTGAAAATCTTAGGTCTGACTTTTTAGGAATTAAATCGTACGAAAAAATACAAAATTATGTAAATTTAATAAAATCAATTTAGTTAAACAAAACGATTAAGTACCTATGTATACAAATAAACATCCAATTTTAAGTTAGTTTTTAGATATTGTATCTGCGTAGAGAAGAAGTGAGCATATCTCTCGAAATACGTATCCAGAATACCTACTGTTGTGGTTTGAAAAAACAAGGATTTTATATATAATTGTGTTCAACACAATGTGCTGTTTAGTAAATACTTATTTCTGTCTATACTGCTGTATATGCCATTTGAGTTTTTGATTTTTTAAATTATAAGATAAATATAAATATAAGCAAATCCACCAACTTTTATTATTTTTGAACCTATTACACATTTTTTATAGAAAAGATAGCTATAATAATGTTATACTAGTATAACATTATTATAATTATTATTTTACATTTACGTAGAACGGTCGATTATAATACTACTATTATGTAGGTGCTATAAAGTAATCTACTCTCTAAAAATGAATTAATTAAAAATGACTAGTTACCTACTACAGATATTAATGGCTGCTTTTTTACTTATGGTATACCATGGTATACCATATATCCCGGACATTTAACAGCCAATTATTATGTGGAATAATAATTATTGTCACCTAAATCCGTTAAAAATAATTAAAGTAGAGCAGTTTTTGATATATAGCCAATTCCATATTAAATAGCAAAAAATCGGCTTATTCGGACAATTTTACATGGAAATTGACTGCTGAATGTCCTGGATACAAATTGCTGTTGACTAGTTAGAGTTAGAGAGTACTTTTATTTATTAAAAGCCTACCGGCCGTTAGTATTACCAACCAGGTATAACTTTATAATTGGTAAGTAAAATGTTTTTTATATATTATAGAAAATTGTGTAGGTAATTTTTTTTACAGAAATATGTAATTTTTTAAACAAAACGTGTCTATTTTTTAAAAAATATGTAAAATATTTTTAAAATAAATATTTATTTTAAAAATATTTGAAATACATATTTGTAGGTACATACTTTTTGAAAAATATACACATTTTTTTTTAAATTACATATTTTTGTAAAAAAATTACATAATATTCTGTTAAAAATGACATGTTTTTTATGTAAAAAATTACTTAGCTTTATGTAAAAATAACATTTTTTATGTAAAAAAAATTACATAATTTTATTTAAAAAAATACATAATTTTATTTAAAAAATTACATAATTTTATTTAAAAAACTACATATTACTGTGGAAATACTTTACATATTTTTATTTAAAAAACACATATTTTTATGTAAAAAAATTATTATTTGTATGTAAAAAAATACTTATTTTTATGTGTACTTTACATAGATAATCTAGGGTTATAAATGGACCCTAGATTATCTAGGTAATCGGGCCAATTAATTTTTACAGTGTATTATGTGTTTTGATTTGTCTTAAAATTATTAAGTGCTTTATTATGAAGTTTAATAAATTTTAATTTATTATCAAGCATATAGAAAAGAAAAATTTAAAAAAATTGCTTTAGAAATATTTTGGATATAAATGTACTGTTTTTATTGTTAAAATGGCTACTACTAGTCACAAAATAACAAAAGTTTTAAGACATTAGCACAATAAACCAGCGTAGAACATATTGTATATTGAACGCTTCATGTGGCTGTGAAAATGCGTTCGCAAAGCCTTGGCGGCTATTCTCCCCAAATGGGTTTACATATAAAATTGTCATTTTTATACATAAAAATAAAACCTATTTTTGCACCGCGAATAATCTGACCTTTTAACTAAATTAAAGTCTGTGTTTAAAAATAAGGTTCTGTGAGTATTTTACGTTTATGTTATAATGCGTTCAAAAATAACTGAATGATCCATAATTTTACTAAAATATTCTTATATTTTACATGTATATCGCAAGTTTATAATAATTTTTCATAAAATTATAAAAACGCTATTCTCTATTTTTAGGTCATTAAAGATGTGCAAAATAAACCGTAAACTCGATACTATAATACGTATTTTTTTAATATAAAATTCTTAAAGGCTTCCGAGCCAATGATTATTAAAAATTTATACCCATATTCCTCAGCATACTGCTTGAGAAGGCAGTCATCGCACAACTCGGGTTCATGCCACTCCCTCGGCGAAAAACGGGCAACTATCCAAATCGTTATCGATACAAGAATGTACGCTCCGGCCATGAAAAACCAAATTTCTATCGCTAGAGGTGTCAAAAATGAAAAAAGCCGACTTGGTGCTCTTATTCTTATCTGAAAATAATTATTAAAGGCTACGTATGCATTTTTTATAATCAAATTAGGAATAATATGTAATAGGTATAAATTAATATTATAATAGTACCATTTTATAGCAAAGCGTGATTTTAATCATGTTTAGATTAAAAAATACCTTATAATATATAAGTACAACTTATAGTCTTGAAATACCTGTGTAGTAAAAAACCGTATTTTTCTTTTAGTTTAACTTTAAACCAGGGTTAAATTATGGCTTAAGATTAATGCATATAATATAAACTTTATTTATATAAATATACTATGCTCTGATATAGTTATTTGGTGTTTTGGGTAATAAATAACTCAGATTTCTGAATATCTATTTAATATATTCTTGATGTAAAAATACAACGGTACATCTTGTTTTATAAACTATTTGACAGTATCTAACGATTTTAAAAACAGCAGCCAACTTATATAATTCAATTTCATAATCATAACAATAAATAATTCTAACACCCCTTTTCAATTTAAATGTACAAACTAAAACATTTGAATTGTTAAACTAACATATCAATGACTTAACAAACTTGAACGAAATCTTATAAATTTTTCTTTAACAAGAGGCTTCGTAAACATATCTGATATATTTTCATTTGAAGGAATGTATTGCAAAATTATTACCTTTTTTAGATACAAATCTTTGATGAAATGATACTTTATATCAATATGTTTCGAACGCTTTAAGTTTTCAAAATTTTTAACTAAAGAAATGGCACTTAAATTATCAATTTTTAAGGTCACTGATTCACAGATTTTGAATTCACTTAAAACACCTTTAATGTTTATCAGTTCCTGAGCAGCAATACCAGCAGAAATATATTCTGCTTCCATTGAAGATTGTGCCACACACACTTGTTTTCTGGAATGCCATCCAATCGGGTTTCCACCATGTAAACATACAAAACCACTAACACTTTTTCTGGTTTCTCTATCCCCAGCCCAATCGGCATCGCATAAGCCAATTAGCTCCTGCATGTTCCCCTTTTTAAACTGTAGTCCATAATCTTTAGTTGCATTCAAATATCGCAAAATCCTTTTTCCAGCCTCCCATGTACTTTTTCTTGGTTTGTCCAAAAATCTACTCAAGTAAGCAACACTAAATGCAATATCTGGTCTACTGACTAAAGAAAGATACATAAGACTGCATATCAATCTTCTATATGGAACGTTGTCCAAAATTGGTTCCTCTTCATTGACTTGGAAGTTCACTTCCATAGGTGTTGCCACAACTTTTGTGTCTTGCATTGAAAATTCTTAGAGTAATCTTGAAATCATCTTATTTTGGGTAATTTTTAGACCTGCCTCATTTTTGATCATTTCCATGCCAAGAAAAATGTTTACTTCTTTCATCATTTTTATATTAAATTCTTTATGTAGATTTCTTAGCAATTCTTGAACTTGTTGTTCTGGTCCTTTTATGAGCCCATCATCCACATATAATACCAAATAAACATCATTTTTGGTATATAAACAATAGTCGTAGTCTGAACGTTTGAAATTTAATTGAGTCATAACTTGGTTAAACTTAATATTCCAACATTTAGGTGCATTTCTTAATCCATATAATGCACGATTTAGTTTTAAATACTTCGAATCTATTTTTAAGCCTTCTGGTGTCTTTATAAAGACATCAGTGTCTAACATTCCATTTAAAAATGCAGTTGGTACGTCAATTTGGTACAATTTCCAATCTTTTTGCACTGAAAATGATAACAACACACGAATTGTTGACAATCTGCATACTGGAGCATAGAAAAACTCTTCATTATTTAAAGGCACTTGAAAGCCTTTTGCGACTAATCGAGCTTTGTTTGTTCCGTCCTCCTTAACTTTAAAAATCCATCTCGTATCAATGGCATGACAATCTAAGGGTAGATTTGCAGGATGCCAAGTTTCTAGTTTTTCATGAGATTTCAATTCATTATCAATCGCTAGTTGCCATTCTGGAATTTTACTCGCTTCTTTATAAGTTTTTGGTTCTTGATTTGGTTCTCCACTTAACAAGCAGTAAGCTGTGTAAGTATCATAATCGTTAAGATGTACAGGTAGTTTCACAATCCTTCCGGATCTAGTTTTCTTAATCATTGTTCTGGATTTCATTATTTTCATTTATGTCTTCTCTGTATTTTTCGGTAAAATCAACAATCACATGTTTTGTCAAATCCTTGTCATCATTTGACAATTTATACTCCATGATACTTTCATCCACACGCACATCTCTTGATCTCATTACTATTCTTTTATCTGGCAGCCAGAGTCTGTAACCACCACCACAATAACCAACAAAAACTCCTTTTCTAGCTCTTTTCTCCAATTTATTACCCTTTGGTAATACTGTATAATAAGCACGACTTCCAAACACTTTCATCTTGTCTAATTTGCTTATTCCATTAAAAATATTTGCAGGTGTTTGACCTTTTGGCAAGCTTTTTGTAGGCAAACGATTTAACTCATACACTGAACACTTTAGTGCTTCGCACCACAATTCTTTTGGGACTCCTGACTCTATAAGTTTGGTTCTAATTTTATTTTACGATCTTTACACCAAATTTCCAATTCACTAAACTAACTCGAATCGGCCCATAACCTGATATAGTTATTTGGTGTTTTGGGTAATAAATAACTCAGATTTCTGAATATCTATTTAATATATTCTTGATGTAAAAATACAACGGTACATCTTGTTTTATAAACTATTTGACAGTATCTAACGATTTTAAAAACAGCAGCCAACTTATATAATTCAATTTCATAATCATAACAATAAATAATTCTAACATGCTCCACACATCAAAGTCCCACCACGTGACTGATATGAAACGCAGTCTTTTGAACACTTGGCATTTAATGCATTTTAGGTAATGTCACAGTAAAATCAACAAAATAAATCATATTTATAGGTTTATGGCTTATTTTTATGTGTTAAAACGCTGTGACTAGAGGCACGTTAACGTGCCGCGATTTGAAATGTTAAAGGCACGTTAGTTACGTCATAAACTCAAACCACCCCAAACTCAACAACACAACCCAACCGACCCCGCCCCATTGGCCCCCCCCGCCCCATTGAACAAAAAACTCAACTAAAATGAGCAAATTTATGTTACGATAAAAATAAAACACTTTTTCACAAAGGAACAACAAATTTATGAAATAAAAAAAGTTCGACAACTTTTTAGATTTGTAGATTTTATGTTACGATAAAACTAAAACAAACCAACCAACCCAACCCAACCGAACACTATTTAACAAAGAAACAACAAATTTATGAAATAAAAAAATAAAAAAAAATCGACAGCTTCTTAGTATCGAACCCGGGACCTCTCGCATGCCAAGCGAACGCCCTACCATATAAGCTATCTAGCTTGATGACGAATATTGAATGCTCAGGGAACAAAAACAGATTATAATTATGACGTAACTAACGTGCCTTTAATATTTTCAATAGCGGTACGTTAGCGTGCCTCTAGTCACTGAGGTGTTAAAAATGAAGAAATCTTTGAAATATCACAATAACAATGGTTTGTTTAATAAAAATAAATACTGAATTAAAAAAAATTCTAAAGTGTATGGTGCCAAATAAGTAATATTTTTGTGCATTTGGTCCATAGAATATATATATATGTATTTTTTACTCGTGAGCGGCCGAAACTGTTTTTATTTTATTTTGTAAACAATTATAAGTTTTACAAATTTATAAATCTATTTTATTTTTTGTCAGATTTATTATTTTGTGTAAGAAATTATGATTTCTCGTAAAACGACATAGTGATTAACCGAATAATCCGGGACGTTTCCGGGACGTTTACTCTTGCGGGACATGTTGATTAAATCCGGGACTGTCCCGCAAAATCCGGGACGAATGGTCACTTTAAATAAATACTTTAACAAATACATAACCTAAAATGCCTCAAATGACAGGTTTTCCAAAGACTGCGTTCCGTATCAAAGTTACGTGATGGGACTTTGATGTGTGGAGAAAAGTAAAATAAAGTGAACACGTAAAAATCCCCTCCTTTTATTTTTTTAACCATTGAAAATTGTATATTGTTAAACAAGACATTATATACTTTTTGACATAAACAATTTTTTTAAGGTCACATTTTTTCAATAAACATGGGTCATGTGATACATTATTGAAAGGGTTTTTTAAAAGCTGATTATACCCACTATTTATTTTTTAGGTTTTTTACAGGGTTTGTAAGAAATAAGCAACATAAGATTTACATTTAAAATATATTATTGTTGTTATTACAGTAATAACTTAATTCAGAAGTTTTAAATTTTAGTTAGTTACTTTTATTAAGTACTTATTTACAACAATATTTTTTTTTAATTTTAAAACGGCGCCATTTTAAAATTTTGAAAAAAAAGTACTCTATTAATAATAATATAATATAATTAGTTTCAAAAGACCTTTCAAATAATATGTTACATGTGTTAAGATTAATTGCAGTTCTTTACATGTCAATAATACTTATAGAAAACTTAACCCTCAGTTAGATAAGATAGTAGTGAAACAAGTGTCATAAAACCTTTTACAGATGGTTTTATGCACACAAGTGCCACTTTAGAGTAAGACAGTATTCTTACTTAATAAGGACCTTTTTGTAAAACAGTTGGCCTGTACCGGGCATAGAGTCAAGTCGCTTTTATACATTTTATTATAAATAAACTTTTCTTTACTTTTAATAAATAACTCATTGCAACCTCATCCAAAATAACAACAACATGACACACTTTGTATCTTTTAAACATTAACTTTTTGGCAGTAACGCGCCATTTTTTTTAATCCATGCATGTGAAAAAGTGTTACCCAAGGTTGAGTTTAAAATTTCAATTTTTTTTAAATAAAACTAGTTTATATGTTAAAAATTGTTGTATATTATGACTGGGGCCCCATTAAAAAATGTGAACTTTTTTCATTTAAAAAAATCAAATTTTTTTACGTCAAAAAGTATTTTTTAATATGTCATGTTAAACATACTTAAAACCAGAGCTGGGCACGAGTACTAAAAAATGTATTCGTAAAATTTTAAGTACGAGTACTTAAAATATTTACTCGTAAAT